AGAAGGCATTGACGTGATGCTGGAATGGACGGCAGAACTGAAGGGTGGCAATAACGGTGCCCCGGAGACACAGAGCGCTGGTCCCACCCTTCAAGCTCTCCCTTCAAGAAGTTTCTAACTATACTCAGCCAACTTGACTCCAGGCTATTATTACTTTCAGTCATAAATCTTCAACCGAATTAACTCAACTATCCTCCTACTATCCCATGATTCAGAGACCTCAGCCTCAGTTTCCAATAGCACATATTTTGGTTTTTCTTTGTAAGTAAAAAATAAAAACCCAACTTTTGAGACTTCTTACATTCAAAATGGTCAAAGGTAATGGTGAACAGTGAAATTTTACATGGGACAAGTCATAGTGGGTCTCCTACAGAGTCTGATTTAGGAAACCCCAAATTTCTTCCCAGAAAATCTCAGGACCCCTCTGGTACCCACCAGGTACCAGAAAAATCTCAGTACCCACCAGGTACACAGTTTAAGAAAATTTTAGCAATAAATAAATGGCAATGTACAACAGATTAGGATATGTATTTCTACTTGACTGCAATACTTTTATACTTTTAATCACAATACATTGAGTTATGATACTACCCTGAGCCATCCTCACTTAATGGGGTGGGGATCCCGCTGATTGCGTAAAGCCCAAGAAGGAAGCAAATTTAGAAGCTAGCCAGGGCTGTTATTTCCCGTGGAAAAAGGTCAAAGGTTGTCAATAGGCAGGGTGTGATTTTTTTCATATGAGATTAGATGTTGTCATGGTCATGTGGTGTGTTTGTTCTTAGACTATTCAAAAAGATATTCAGAAAAAAAATACCACCACAGTCCTTACTGAAGAGCAAGAACTGGAATAATAGCACATCTATCCTCCTGTACAGACCAGCTCACACTTGACCCTGCTAGAGAAAACCAGCCCTATTATTATCTGGCTAAAGCCTCAGGGGGCAGAGTTTGCAAGACACAAGAGTGTTGAGGGCCAAGAAAGATAAAGAAGAGTGAAGAGGAGAGAGAACCCTTCAAGGGAGGAATATACGAAGAGAGTTACAACTGATGGGGCATACTTTCTGAAGACTCACCTGGTGAGCTCCTACCTTTCAATCCCTAGCATGCTACAAAAGCCTAAGTTCATTGTCAAAACTCTGGTCTTCCTCCTCTGCACTGTTTAGGAATGCTTAGCAGAGTCTTCAGTGAGAGAGCCATTTAGACACCCAGCAGCAGGCTGGATACACTGGTTCTAGGGAAGGCTGCTTGCCAGCAGCACTGCAACAAGGGACAATATTTAATTCTGTGATGTGATGGCTCTGCCAACCCAAAGAGCTCCTACCCCAAAGACTGAATTCACCAATCCTTTCCTATAATAGGATGCAAGAAGCACCCCCTAGTTTGGAATGATGACACCTCAACTTTAGAACCATGGTACTGATGATCATTTATTAATATCAGTTTGCCTTGAAGTACTCACTATGGCATACCAAGCTCTGCTGTGACCATTTACAACAATTTACAAAGTAATCTTCACATTTAAACTTCACAAACACCCTATGAGGCAGATTTTATTATTACTACCAATTTATAGATGAGGACTCTGAAGCAAAAAGTGTCTAAGCACTTGTTCAAGGTCACAAAGCTACTAAGTGATACAGAATTTGAACCAAGGTCATTTGCCTCTTGACCTGATCCCCTCAGTCCATATGTTATAATTACTTCTTTTGTTGAGGAAGAATAAGAAGACAACGAAGTAGACAGAGAAGAAGAGAAAGAAGGAGGAGGTGGGGGAGGGGGAGGGGAAACAGGAGGAAGAGAAACACCCATGACACCTGTATACATTTGAGAGAACCTAGTGGAATCTTTGAATATTGCCTCAGTACAGTTGAGGCTGAACTAAGTCATACCTCAGGAACAGAATAAAATTGATGCCTACACCTTTTCAGAGATGGGTAGGAAAAGAGTCCTACCTCTAACCAACTTACTTTCCTTTCAAAACAAAGCTTTGGTCTTAAGCTTCCTTCTCTGGTCAAATATAAACTGTGAAGAGATGTGCTCATATCAAAGGTGCTTTGATTTCAGGTTTACAAAACATAATTATGTAATTTAATAAGAGAGAACTTGTAAACAAGCATCCATTTTTCTACTTAAAGTTAATGCATATTCTTCCCAGGTAGGTACAAAGAGCAAAATATGGTCCCAATGTAAATAAAATCTCTAAAATCATGACAACGTAGAGCATGTCCATCAGGATAAAAAGAGGTAAAGAGCAGGGTGTATGAGACAGAACTCAAAGACTCAGAAAGACCTCAGTGAGACTTCTGAGGACAGAGCCAGGTGACTTTTCCAAGGTCCTAAGTCAGTGCTGAGGCAAGAAGTCAAGGTTCCTGGCACCCAGGTCAGAGTTCCTTCCACTGTCTCACTGGACCTCCCGGAAACAAAAACCACTAGACACACGACAAAGAAGCCAGGGAGCCATGCCACATGAATGGGCAGATTGTTGAGGGAAGGGGGGTGGGGAGGAGGAGTAAAGCACTGCAGGATAATATGGTTTTATAGAAATCTATTTGCAAGTAGATCCTGTGGTTACCGATGTGGCTGCCCAAGAGAAAGAACGACTGACTGACAGCCGAACAAAGGCATGGACACTCTCACAAAGGGAGATACAGGAGTCGCAGCGTTCCGTGCACATCACAAATGCACTTCATCAAGTTGAGACAGAGAAAAACAGTGAGGGAAAGCCCACTGTGCACAAGGGCCCCTTTATTCACTAGGCTTTCCCATCCCACACACACTTTACCTGATGAAACGTTAGACTTTTGCTTCTGTTTCTGTAGAATCCTTTTGATTTTTCCACATTCAACTAGCACGTTTCATAACTGTTTAGTGTTCTTATTTTTCTGCAAATTCATGTGCTGTGCACACTGATGACATATTTGGAAGTTAATGAAATCAGATGAAAATAGCTTACATTAAAGTCTCCCCATTTCTTCACTACAATGTCTGCCACCTACTGTTCAGCCACGAAACACTGCAGCTCGTGCATCAATAAAACTTCGTATTAATATTCTCTGAGGTGGAAAGACTCTATTAGCCTTTTTTTTCCTCTCCTGTTCTTTGCTTCCAACTGCGTTTAGCTTTGGAACCCCCTGACAAATGGTCATTATTCTCTGGGCCAGTAAAAAAGAATTCTAAAATTTAGGGGAAATGTCTTTGGTCAGAAGCCCAAGGGAATTGGCTTGTTGAATTAAATGATAAATATATGCATTTAAGGTCATTAGAGACTTTATCTCCTGTAAAGGCTATATTTGTCAGGTTGATATAATTTCTCTCAACTGAGCACTTAACTCCATCGGCCAACATTATTACGATTATTCCTTTTCCTTTAAGTGGGAGACTTCTAGCTCACAACACGTGTGTTCTTTCTGGTGCTGCTTCTCGAGCGATCAAGGCACACCTTTGTTTCATTTAGTATGCAATTTTCACCTCTGACCCAAGAAATGAGTCCTGGGCTTCCTGAACTTTATTGCCTGTTAATAGACTGCTGGCTCTCTTTTCAGCAGTAATAGAAATGGTGGAGAGGCATTTCATTTAGGAGGCTGGCACACTGCAGCCTGAAAGACAGTGTCAGAATTAAAAGTCAGCCCGGCCAAGAAACAATATAAAGATCACAGTGACACGAAAGAGGAAGTTTTCCATATTCCATCACAGACAGCACTCGGGTATGTAAATAAGAACAGCATCCCAGATCTCATTATTTTCCCACCGCACCATGACAGACGCTCTGAACGGTGCTAAGTGATTGAGCTAGTAATTCATCTCCAGCTTACACCTATCTACATATTTTGTTTCTGCTCATTAGACTGGAGACATCAGTGACAAACTTATGAAGTGGCAGTCTTTGGCTTCATAAAATACACACAGATGCTCATCAGAGGCTCTTTGCTGCCTACTTCTTAGTGACACGTGTTTATAATTTTGTCTGTATCCCGTTTGCTGTGGTTTACCCTTAAGTACATCTGTTCAATTAAAATGGAAACGTGTGACATGGCCCATACTCAGCAACTTTCGGGCTTGTTAATGAAATGTTCTAAGGTTCCTGCCTCAGCTCTTTATTTGCAAAAGGATTTCATTCTGCAGTTTTCCAATGATTGAAAAGTACAAATAAAAATACCCCTTAAAACACATACAAAGAAGTCGACTGTTTTGTTAATAGTTAAGAAAGGACATTATTTTACATAAAAAGACATTATTAAAAATGATTTACTGCCTTGTGTTTGAAAACTTACAGGAAAAGTCTGATAATATATTAAACTTGTTTATTATGATTTCATATAATTTTGAATAATACTACTTTTTCCTCTGACAAGTGCAATAAACTCTACTGGTATAGACATAGGTTGATTATCACGAGTCAACTGTGTTGCTTAAAGAAACATGCCCAAACAATCAGCTTTTGAAGGCTGCATCTCCAGTTATTTACACTCACCATCATGGTAATAACTCACCATTTCTATATTAATAAGGCAGTGAAATTTATTGTGATGGTATTGAAAAGTTATTAAGTACTGCATCCCAAGTGACAAAGTACCATAGCACTGTCACTATCCAAAAGCAGTTGCCCATTCATCACCTGCCTTTCCAGATGGTCCTGCATCTTTATCGCTCCCAGGCTGGTGACATCACCTGTTCACCCACTCAAAATTGATGATGAAAGCAAACAGATCTATCTTACTTACATTTACCAAATCAATTTAATTTTTACAGGCCATGGCTTGGTGACATATTGACTGTTTTCCTTAATGGCATCTACCGTATTTAATGCAAGGATGTCATCTTTGATTCCTGGCTCGCATAATGTGTCATTTCATAATAAATTTCTCAAACATATTTACTTAATGGAAAGAATTATGATTGCTTGTCAGTTCTCTTATTAAACACAATGATAACTCTTTTTCTTTTCGAGAATCCTCTACTGGGCAACAAAGCTATTTTTAATCCTTCCTTGTCTCTTTAAGGGGGCCAACGACTTGGACATAAAGTAAGTTCTAATCAAACACTGGACATATGACTGACCGCTTTCAATCCTCCAGCTCAGGGTAAGGGTTTTAATCTCACGTCTTTGTTATTATAGAAGAACTAGATTCTCCAGAGATGCTGTGATTAAAATTATATATTAGCAATAACTAAAGACAAACAGATGAAATGTCACCACAAAAGGATAACAGCTGTACAACTGATTTTAATGGTTCATATGATGTTTAATGTTTACTTCTCCGGATTATTGTAATCAGTTCTCTTCAGCTAGTGCCTTTAGATCAAGTGTATGTTAACATAAATATCTGCATCATAAAAGGTTAAGATTCAGGATGAAAGACTAGTCTATTCACTATCTGATACTCACATGACACCCCCCTTTTCCCCAAGTATGATTTACAGATCCCATCTGCTGCCCTGCCAGACAAATGCTCCTCTGACAGGTGTCACCACTGCATTGTGCTGCATTTGTATTACCTAAAGGGAGTGGATGACTAACACCTATATTCAAAGAGGTACGGGGCCCAGAGGGCAAATCACTGTGTGGCCTCCTTGTCCTCCGGAGCCCCACCTCTATTATGTGTATGCAAATAAAACCAACATCAAATACACTCCAACTGTGACTCCAAGAGAAAAACTGGGGAAGGGCCTGTGACAGAGGAAAACTGAGTAACCTAAGGTGTATGTATTTATTTCTTTAGGTATTATGCCCCAGCCAAGAGAGGCCACAGTGCAAGCACTTGGCTAGATGAACAAGGAACGAGTAGATGGAGAGCTCGGGGGCTACGGCCCTACACTGCTGACCTACAACTACAGCAAAGCTCTTGGCTACCTCCTTCTTCACATATCTGGCTTCGCCAGACAGCATTGTTGGAGTTAACCTGATCCAGCCCCTTCACATAAGATAAAGTCTGAAAAAATCTCCAAGTTTATCTTGCCCTATATTGAACTGACTGGTCCCAGGATTAAGTGTCTTCCTGAGGAGATCGCAGGGAGACGGAAGAATGCCACACAGAACTGCTCTCCATCTGTGCTCCTACTGCGTAGTCTCAATCTAATGGGCATAAATATATATATGTCAATGGCATCTTCCCATGGTTTATGTTTCTTTGGAAACCAAGTCCAGGATTTCCTACATCCCTGTCGTTAGACTGATACCAGCTCTGGTTAGAAAGAAAACAGAAGGAGAAAATAAAACAACATGAGGTCAGAGCCAGGCAACCTGCTCCTACCTGTAGATTAGGTTCATGTAAGTTGACTCTTCATGCTCATCTATTGAGGTGAACTTATCCTAATCCATTAGTTAGGCAGAGGCTTGCCCTTGGGTGAGGTTTCCAGGAAAACAGGGGTTCAAGCTGGTAGTCTTGTGAGACCAAGAAGAACATGTTTTTTGAGGGCAGCTGGCCTGGGTGCCAGGGTGGAGATTCTCTGCTGACATCACACACCTGCTGAATTCCTACCGCAAGAATCTAAACAAATTAAAAAAAACAACAAATCATCCACACCTGTGGCTGCCAACTGACTGAAGTTTCTGTGTGATGCCAGGTACACCTGGATAGCCGAGGAGGTCAGCAGCAGTGTCAGAGGTAAATACCACTGCCAGCTAGTAGGAGGCACAAAGGTGCCCACCTCCCTCCCATGGATCTGTGACAGGAGCCAACTGGCCAACAGTCACAGTAAATATGTCATAGAAAATATGCATATACCTCTTATACATTAGAAAAGCTCTAGGTAACAGTGCGGCAGGAAGAAAAGATTTCAGAGCAGAGGTATCTGTAATCATCAGTCTCTCCCCACCGTGCTCCCAGGGAAGAAGGAGTTTCTGAGTCAACAGCTGGATCCTTGCTTATTAGCCACATCCAGATGCCAGGCAACCCAGACTCGGTAGTACCACGAGGGAATAAGGCAGCAGAGTGCTTGGGAGGGCAGAGTCTCTGAGAGCGACACATGCTGGGTATGTGTAAGGTATTAAAGGAGTAAGAGAATGAATAACAGAGGTACATAGGGGCAAAGAATTTAAGTTTGGCAGGACATTTTAAGGGAAATCCCTCTTTGATGCTTTAAAAAAGGATTTATTTTGTATTTTTTTGAAGGGGTAAAGAGGTTACTTGACTTGTTTTAAAAAAATGTTTTTATGATGACTGCCAAGGTTGAGCTCTGTAATAGGCTAAATAGAGAAAGCATCAGGAACCATCCAAATGCTTAGATCCAAAACCCAAAATTTAGATTCCTAAGGGATCAATTAAAAAACTTAAGGCAGCAAATGTATTTTCCTGTGCGTGTGCCTGTGCGTTGTATGTATGTGAGGTTGTGTGGTGCGGGTTGCGAAGACACTGTTTCAGTGTCTGATGACATTCTACAACTGACTTCCTAGGATTAGATTAAGTAGTACAAACAAATTATTTTGTGTGTCTTGGGTAGTATTTGACTGACAGAACAAAAGTCTGATCTGAAAGCTGATGGGATAAATGCTTAGTAATTGAGAGGGTTTGGATCTGGAGCAGGTAACAAACAAGACCAACAATCACAGAATAAACTTTCAGTTGATCTTGAACCTGCTAGTCCTGTTCCGAGCCATAGAGCCCCTCTGAGAAGACATCTCCAGATATGCTCCTTTGGTCATAAAAGTTCATATGGACTCAGCTCTGGGGTGTGCTTCTAAAGGAGGCAAGCTTTTTCCATGCAAAGTCATTTACCTTCTATCAGTACAAGCAAAAGTCCCTTTATAACAGGAGCACTCTCAAATATCTTGTGCAGTAGTAAAATCTTGTTATATTAAATATCAACTTGAAAAGAATGATAAACTGACAAGTAGCTATGGCATCTACTTGTTACACGCGCACACACACACACACACACACACACACACACACAAAGTCTCTATATCTTACTCTTTGTCATAATGATAGCTGACCACTTCTTGCTCTTGTGATGGTTTTTATTTCTTTTGACTTGAGAATCCTAATTATCAAGGAGAAAATTTTCATTAACAGCATGCTATACATACCTGTCTTCAGCTTCAGCTACTTCACAAAAGGCCAAAAGATGTACCACAGCCAAAATGAGGATAGCATTTATTTACTAAATTTTCCTCTAACTGAAATACTAATTTATTTTTTAAAATTCTTAGGCAGCCCTGACTGGTGTAGCTCAATGGGTTGAGCATTGGCCTAAGAACTGAAAAGTCGCCAGTTCAATTCCTGGTCAGGGCACATGCCTGGGCTGTGTGCCAGGTCCCCAGTTGGGGGCGTGTGAGAGGCAACTGATCCCCTTTCCTTCCCTTCTCTGTATAAATAAATAAATAAAATATTTTTTAAAAAATCATAATGGAATAATCTTAAGCAGAATTATGTATAAGGAGAAGTACTTTATCAAAATTACTATTGTATATGATTCCATCAACGTAAATAAACTTTTAGAAGCCAAGATTTTGTACTAATAGAAATTTGTATTTATTGCCCAAATGAAATAGTGCACAAGTCCCCTCCCTGTCCCCACTTCTCCATACTACCTCCCTGCCATTATTGGAACAAATTCTCTCCTCAGTACAGAACAAACTGCATTACAAAGAGTCTCTGCCCCTGGACTGACCAAATCCTAGAACCAACTGTGAAATTTATTTGCAAAGGATTTTCCTGCCCTGGTCTGGTGGCTCAGCAGATTGGAGTGTCATCATTCAGTACACCAAAAGGTTGCAGGTTTGATTCCCTGTCAGAGCAAATACCTATGGTGCAGTTTCAGTCCCCGGTTGGGGTACATCTGGGAGGCAACTGATCAAGTCCCTCCCTCCCTCCCTCCTTTCTTTCCTCTTTCCCTTACTCTCTAAAAGCAATAAATGTATTTACACAATGGAATTCTATGCAGCTGTAAAAAAAGGAACTCTTACCCTTTGCAACAGTATGGATGTACCTGGAGAACATTATGCTAAGAGAAATCAGCCAGCTGAAGAAAACAAATATCATATTATCTCACTTATATGTGGAATCTAATAAAAGAAACTGATGAACAAAATAAAACCAGAGGCAAGGATACATGGGACAGAGTGATAGATCTCAGAGGAGAGGGGGGTGGGAGACTGGGAGATATTAGCCAAAGAACATATATGCATATATGCAAAGCTCATGGACACAGACAAGAATGTGATGAGGCCAGGTTGGGGGGGGCTTGATGGAGGAGACAAAGGGAGGCCAGGAAATGGGTGACATCAATAATAGTGTCAATAATTTAAAAATTAAAATTAAAAAATAGCAATAAAAAGGATCTTTCCTGACCATTTCATTATTTTGAACCCATGAGTTTTACTATTGATTCAGTGCCTAAAGAAAGAAGCAACAGTTGTGCAAGCACGAGTATAGCAGCAAACAGATAACAAAAGAATTTTGGTCTATTTTGTGGGATATGCTAACAGCTTACATGAGGGCTCCTCACTGTAAGAAAATCACCCCATATTGCTTTGAAAAGTGAGTGACTTACACGCATATTCTAGTGGATCACCAAGGCAGGTGTGGTAAAGCAAAAGACTACTGACACTTGGGGAACTTCCACAAATTTTCGATACCAGACTTTTCCACACCACTGACAACACGTCCATAGTACCAGAAGTTGTCAGAACAAACCCAGGACGAGCTGACGTGCTGAACTCTCCATTATCACCTTCCCCGGGAGAAGGTGTAGGATGAGCAAACTCCCTGGTATCGACAGAGCCTAGGTGGGCAGGGAAAGGCGACTTCTGACCTCTTCTCAGAATATAGGGGTCTCTCTGGAGTTCCGGTCAAAACTGGAGATAGTTGTTCTCCTGAAAACTGCTTCAGGAGAACAAACTTCTATTTTCTTTCAACAACCAGGGATTTTGTTTCTGTAATGTATGCTGGCAGCACGAGTTGAATAAAACAGACTGTATCCTGTTTCCTTGATCTCCTTATATTCTAGGAGAATCTATAACCTCTCCCTGGGCCCCAATGACAGTTGTGTTCAGGGTCATATTAACTAAACCTTACTTCTTCCCTTGACATTTTCTGTTCTTAATTCCTCACAGAGTAAAATTGAATTTCCAAACTATATTTGCCATTCTAATAACATTGCAAAAATTTAATACTTTATAATCTAAGGTTTTATGGTAACATACCTTTACTATTAGATTACATTCCTCTACCTTAACTACCCGTTAAAGGCAACTTTTTGGATCCTAAGTAGTCTCCCCCTCTATTGGAATTAATTCATTTCAGAATTATTAAAACAAAGGTCCTCACTTCTTAGTTATCTAGCTCTAAGCATATGCAACTTGTGGAGGGTACTTGCTTTCTTATTAATGGGTAAAATTCGCTTTGGCCCAAGGAGACCTAGAGAAAAGTAGGGGAGAAATAACGACATTCAAAGATAACTGGTATGTATCTCTAAAATCCCAAATTACCCATTTTTCTTTATTACCAAACATATATTATTTGATTGTCAGCCTCCTGACTCTGGACTCGGTTGTTAGATTTCTTGAAAGCATGATGTTGCTGCTGTTGTTTTAATGGATATTCCTGTTTCAGCCAACACAGAGGTGGCGTGTTTCAGTGGGTAAGGCATCACTACAGCACTCAAAATCGAACTTACAAGTGGGAGAACTATTTCTTTTAAGATGATGTAGGGAGGCACACACTCATGGTAATATCCCACTCCAGGATTACACTGTGGGAACACAATGCATTGCCAAAGCCCTGCCTCAGAACTATCTGATGAATTTCTGACTCCAGTAAAGATCTCTTTCCACTATTCTTTCCCTTCTATTTAACAGAACATAAGAGAAATTTACTGTCCAGTCATGTCATTATTTTCCAGTGTCTGAATACGTGTTTGCTAGAGGAGAGGAAAAGAAAAGCTAAATTGTACCTGGCATTTTAACTGATCAAAAGAATCTGGAGCATCAGGGTGGGATGAATAAAAAAGACGGTTTGGCACCTAACAGATCCATCGTTGGTTGACTCACATCTATCGTCAGAGTTTTACAATGACCAGTAACAATAGAGATGAGCCAGGGATGTGCTCAAGGGTACTATTCCAAAGAAACAAAATTTCGCACTGTTTCTCCAATGGCCTATCTCAGACTCTTAAAAAATATGTCACCCAAATTACCCTTTGGCTTACAAAGAAATTTATAAATCTCTCCCGAATCCTTGTTTTAACTGTTAATTAGGGAACAATCAGTGCTTCCTTTTCAAATAAACCCAGAGTCACACAATTAGACCATCCCGGAGATAACTGAATTTCTGGGAAACAAGAAACAGGAGAAAGAACAATAATATTTATAAAATCAATAAATAAAATACATCTGGCCTTTGCTCTAATGACCTGGTGCTCAATCTTTATTTTAATCCAGCTTTTGCTGTTGTTCACCTGTACTGAGTTCTTCGACCAGGAGGCTCTTCGGTAGGTTTTTAACACAGAATGCCACATTGCACCCTCACAATATCCCTCACTGGATAGGTACAATTCATATCACTATGTTAAAAGAAGACTGAGGGGCAGCATACTGTGTAACTTTTTCAAAACCACTCAGCCAGCAGGCAGAGCCTGGAGAAGCTGCTCCCCTCTGCTCTGCCGTGGGCTACCCACACTATCACATTATGGTCATCTTTGCAGGAAGCATACCAGAAAACCCTCATCTAGAACCAACAGGATTCTTTTATTAACATTCCCTTAATCAGTAACGCTAACATCTAACCCGAAGAGGAAGCGTTCTATCACTAATTATTTAGCGCTCCCCAGTCTTTAAAGATCTGCTTAGAATCATATGCATTGCAAGGTGGAAATTATTGCCCATATTGTTTTTAAAGTTTCTCCTTTTTAAATCAATACTGGTTTGGGAGAAATCATGCATACAGGTTTTAAAATATCTATGCCTTATTTTCCCTAACTGTTCATTTTGGTCTATGAACCATAGTTTCAAAAATATCCTATTTCTCTAAAATATAAACTCAAGTGACTTTCAAAAAGCACCTTTTGGGGAAGTATATTTAACTTTTAAAAAAAATTTTAAACAGGGTTCAGAAAGGTGGCCCCTAACTACAATATTATCTTTGAGCTTTCTCTTTTAAAAACTTTCTTTAAAGAGACTACCATACCTCTTTACTTAATTTTAATTATAGAGCAAGTAATGATTTGACAATTATTGACCTGTTTGTCCAAAAAATGCAGGAACTAATCGATTTTGAATAGTTTCCTAGAATCACACAGTAGTAGCAGAGTTAAGGCTTGGTTCTCCGTGTCTAAAGTTGAGATTCTAGCTTTTTCCATAGACCTACCTCAGCCTCCACTCCTTGCCTCCTATATCCTTTCATTTATTCTTTCACTCATTTTTTAGTGAGCAGTTATTTGTTAAATGTCTGTGTCGTGGACTAAGTGTTTGAGTCCTCCCCAAATCCATACATGGGAGCCCTAGCCCCTAATGTGACCATATTTAAAGAACGGGCCATTAGGAGGTAATTAAGGTTAAATGAGGTGATACTGATGGGGTCCTGATCTAAGAGACATGGGAGAGAAGGAGCTCCCTCTCTCTCCCTCTGTGTGTGTGTGCACACATGCACCTAGGGATGGCCATGTGAAGACAGCAAGAAGGCACCCCATCTCTAAGCCAGAAAGAAAGACTTCAGCAGAAACCAAATCAGCTGGCACCTTGATCTTAGACGTCTTAACCTCCAGAATTGTGAGAAAATAAACTTCCACTGTTTAAGCCACCCAGTCTGTAGTATTTTGTTATACCAACCTTGAGCTGACTAGCCTAGCTGAGTCATTTCAGGTAACATAGTTAACATTACACAGCACCACAGGCGCCACAAAGAGAACACAACCACACTTAGAGAATAAAGCTATGCAAGCTCTCAGGGAAATGTCATCCTACTAGGGAAGCTTGGCAAACAATTTGAACTTGGCAAAATGCTTGAAGTTCTTTAATATGTGGATTTACCTGGTGCTATGGTGGGACAACATTGAACCAGTACTAAATTGGGACTGTAAAGCTCAGGGATGGTGCTATAGAAGAAGAGAACTTGAAGAACAAGTAGAAATTTGCTAGGGATGGGAAAGAAAAGGAGTTTT